GCTAGCTTTCTGAAAAGCAAAAAAATCATTTTAAAAATGTAAAAATTGGACAACTAACTAAAGAATTAGAATCGAAAGAAAAAAATGTAAAAAGTGGAGAGGCATTTTAAGGCAGAGTACTACTCCTGGATGACTGGCTGTAGGGAAACAAACAGGCTGCACTTCTGGGGTTTGTTTGCTCTTTGCACAGGACAGGACATACACACTAAGTATTGGATTTATTAGTCTTATGAATATGATTAAGTCGGCCCACCGACACCAGTATTCTGTAGCACATCCACAAGCCATGGTGGCTTTTACCTTTGCGTACACAAGCAGACAGAACAGGTGCAGAACAGGTTAGCGTAGTAGGAATAAATATTTGATTTATGTGTCTCTTTATATCAGGTGAGGTTTTTTTCTGCACCAAGCCTGTAAGTTTAAGATATCTCCTGGTACTCTGGATTCCCTTAAAAGTATTATATTTTATTTTCCAAAGTGTCTGTATGAAGAGTAGAGTATGAATTAATTTATTAGAAATACAGAAACTATACCCTTCAGCTGGTGTGAAAAAACATAGCGAAACCAATATGGCTTTTCCCAACAACGGCATCCAAACTCAGCCGCAGTGTGCATAGCAGTGGTGACTGGCCAGAAAAGGGCGCTAGGGCGAAGCCCCTACCCAACCAATGACCCTGATTAACTGCCGACGACCCGGTGGGTTTTGACACATTTAAGTTTAAATGTGTCTCTCTCTATTCTCCTATTTTGCAGAATTTGTTAGTTCAATCTCTAACGTTCTGCTCTCTCTGCTTTTCCTCAGAGTAGCTTTGCCTCGTCTGTTCCTGTTTGGCTGTGACGCCATCCTGGAGAGAAACATCAGCTGTGCTGCTTCCATCAACACCCTTGTTTATAGATGCTGGAGATTGGCCTGTTTTCCAGTGTGGTCCTGTTTCTCTGACCGTGACTGGCTGGATGTGCTCTCTTCGTCCTCTGGCATGGGAGCTGGCTCGGAGCTCGTCTGCCTGGCTGTGTGTTTCCTGGACGGGGCCGCCTTTTACAGCTGCTTTTTGTGTGTCTGCTTCTGTTTCCTTGAAGAGCAGATGACCGCTCACACTAAGCCTGGTTCTGCTGGAGGTTTCTTCCTGTTAAAAATGAGTTTTTCCTCTCCACTGTGGCTACATGCTTGGTGTGAGGGATTGCCTTCGAGTCAGTGAGTCGATGCAATCAACTGGTTTTTCCTTAAATGGATAATTTTAAATAAATTTGACTGTATGATCTGTTTGAATTGTCTCTATAAAGTGTCTTGAGATGACATATTATGAATTGATGCTATACAAATAAACTGAAATAAATTGAAATTGTCAGCTCAATGTAAAACAAACAAGTTGAGGTATGATCAGTTTAGGATACTACAGCTGATTAACTGTTGCCAGACTTTTAAAAAGAGTTACAGAATTTATATTAAAGAAGCTCTTAAGCAGATGCTAACATTTGGATAAGTGGTAGCTAATGGTTTGCAAGCTGTGAGATTCTTAGTATCCTTGCATGCCATTTCTATCATGACTGTCAACATTTTGTGTTTCTACTGACTATCCAAAATGCTGCCTGATAATCTAAGTGTGGTTGAGTCTCCCTCAATGCTTATATAAGTGTTAAAGCCAGCTTCCTTTTCTCAGCTAGGTCTGTTAAAACAGCATGGCAAATATCCTAGCACAAAATTATTCTTTACATCAAAATAAGGGTCTATACACTCCTGATCAAAACTGGTGAAATTCCGTAAAAATTCAAAAAAATATCCACTGGACTTTTTTGAATTTTTATGGAATGACTATGACCTGGATGACTGAGAACCTTCATCAGCAAAACTGGGAAAGGATTCACAAGTATTAACATGTAAAAAATAAATAAATAAAGGGAAAACAAAACTGAACAAGGGGGCTGGGATTGTTTTACTACACAAGCAAAGTGGTTTAAAATGAACCTTTACTGCCAAGGCTGAAATGTTCATTTCGCATTTTAAATTTCACAAAAAAATGTAAAAATTATTTTAAAAAAAACTTTCTCCTTTAATTTAGGTTGAGCCTGATGCTCAACCTAAATTTTATTAACTGATGCTCTGTCTCTCCACCCCAGCATTAATTAGAATATCTGAAACAAAAAATAAAAAACTGTAAATGGTGTTGAAGGAGCCCATTTGTCACATGTAACAGATAAATATTGTAAAAAAATATAATATAAAATAGGTTTTCAGTACTGCTTTTATCCAATTTGTCTTTCACTAACAATGTGCCTTTTTTACATGTTAAAGCTCTGCTTATACTTGTGATCTACTAACACAAAATTCCAACAATGTTCCGTTTATAGATTGTTTAAAAGTTAAGATCAGTGCGGTCATATTCAGAATTCAAACTTCGGAAATTACTTTAAGTATGAGTTTTTGTTTAAGGGTAATTTTCATTTGAATGTGCTTTACTGGAGGCATCCATGTTTGTCAAAGATCACTACCGCCACCTACCGGTTTGTGACGTCATGGTGCGGTATCTGCGGTTGAGCAAGTCCCAATGCTGTACCTAGAGTTTGTCACGACATGTATTATCCAAGTCATCTTGAAAACATTCTACTTCGAAATATTGGCTACATATTACATGATTTTTCTCTGGCCAGAAAACAACAAACCCGTGGTGGATTATGAATCAGAAAGATTACATTTTTTATTTATTTTTTTACCCGATGTATTACAACATTTAACTGCCATGCAGGTGGGCATTGTCAGATTAACTATAGCTCAAGTTCAATGGTGAAGTCCTCTGGAAATCTTAAATAATTGTTGATTGCACTGAAAAAAAAGGAAATTGGACTTTAAAGGTCACTTTAGAAGGTTAAAAACTACAACAGTAGGACAATAGTAGTATGTTCATGGAGGAGAAACAGCATAACACTTCAAAGTTCTCTAAGTGCAGCAGGCCAGGTTATTTCAATTAGATTTGACTTGAACTCTAAGCTGAGCCCCCACCCATCACTGCCAGATATCAGACATACAGGTGCTGGTCATAAAATTAGAATATCATGAAAAAGTAGATTGATTTCAGTAATTCCATTTAAAAAGTGAAACTTGTATATTATATTCATACATTACATACAAACTCATATATTTCAGATGTTTATTTTGTTTAATTTTGATGATTACAAATGACAACAAATGAAAATCTCAAATTCATCATATCAGAAAATTAGAATATTGTGAAAAGGTTCAAAATTGATGGCCCCTGGTGCCACACTCTAATCAGCTAATTAACTCAAACCACCTGCAAAAGCCTTTAAATGGTCTTTCAGTCTAGTTCTATAGGCTACACAATCATGGGGAAGACTGCTGACTTGACAGTTGTCCAAAAGACGACCATCGACACCTTGCACAAGGAGGGCAAGACACAAAAGGTCATCGCTAAAGAGGCTGGCTGTTCACAGAGCTCAGTGTCCAAGCACATTAATAGAGAGGCGAAGGGAAGGAAAAGATGTGGTCGAAAAAAGTGTACAAGCAAGAGAGATAACCGCACCCTGGAGAGGATTGTGAAACAAAACCCCTTCAAAAATGTGGGGGAGATTCACAAAGAGTGGACTGCAGCTGGAGTGAGTGCTTCAAGAACCACCACACACAGACGTATGAAAGACATGGGTTTCTGCTGTCGCATTCCTTGTGTCAAGCCACTCTTTAACCACAGACAGCGTCAGAAGCGTCTTGCCTGGGCTAAAGAGAAACAGGACTGGACTGCTGGTGAGTGGTCCAAAGTCATGTTCTCTGATGAAAGTAAATTTTGCATTTCCTTTGGAAATCAAGGTCCCAGAGTCTGGAGGAAAAGAAGAGAGGCACTTCATCCACGTTGCTTGAAGTCCAGTGTAAAGTTTCCACAGTCAGTGATGGTTTGGGGTGCCATGTCATCTGCTGGTGTTGGTCCATTGTGTTTTCTGAGGTCCAGGGTCAACACAGCCACATACCAGGAAGTTTTAGAGCACTTCATGCTTCCTGCAGCTGACCAACTTTTTGGAGATGCAGATTTCATTTTCCAACAGGACTTGGCACCTGCACACAGTGCCAAAGCTACCAGTACCTGGTTGAAGGACCATGGTATCCCTGTTCTTAATTGGCCAGCAAACTCTCCTGACCTTAACCCCATAGAAAATCTATGGGGTATTGTGAAGAAGAAGATGCAATACACCAGACCCAACAATTCAGAAGAGCTAAAAGCCACTATTAGAGCAACCTGGGCTATCATAACACCTGAGCAGTGCCACAGACTGATCGACTCCATGCCACGCCGCATTGCTGCAGTAATACAGGCCAAAGGAGGCCCAACTAAATACTGAGTGCTGTACATGCTCATACTTTTCATGTTCATACTTTTCAGTTGGCCAACATTTCTATAAATCCTTTGTTTTTATTGGTCTTCAGTAATATTCAAATTTTTTGATATGATGAATTTGAGATTTTCATTTGTTGTCATTTGTAATCATCAAAATTAAACAAAATAAACATCTGAAATATATGAGTTTGTATGTAATGTATGAATATAATATACAAGTTTCACTTTTTAAATGGAATTACTGAAATCAATCTACTTTTTCATGATATTCTAATTTTATGACCAGCACCTGTAAGGGACCCCGTCTCTGTTTTCTTTGACCGCCCTGAGTGCTTTGTATAAAGGAGGTTAAGTTCAAAGTAGAAGATGGAACAGAGGGGTAAAGTGAGACGATGCTCAGCCCGATGGGGTGCGCTTCTGAACCAGACTATGCATGCCTGCAGGGCTGTAGAGCGATGATTCCTTTATCCCACTGCCTGAGCTCTAAACACAAGTTTGCACCCACACACAGTGTACATACCACATGTCAGAAACAGTGCAACACAGCATTATTTATGACCTTGCTGTGTTTTTAAACATTTATAGAAACTTTCACTTAATCATGATTTTTATAAAAAATATGAAACAGAACAAAGATTTACAATCAAAGTGTTGATAAGAGGCAAAAGGCTGACCTTTATGTTACACTGGAGAGGTTTTCTTTTTTTTTTGGTCATAGTCACTCAGCAAAACCCTTCGTTTGACTGAAGGAGATGAGGCCACACAAACCATGTGTACAAGTTCAAAGTTTTTCACCCGAAAAACGATCAGGTTCGCTTCGCAGTTGACGTGAGCATGAAAACATCTGTTCCCATTTTAAACCAGCAGGAAGAAAGGAGTGTTGCTGGTAAAGATGATATCTGTGTAGCATTGACAACTTTCTTTCTAAACAAGTTCAACCGTTTGGTCATGCAAATCTGTGATATGAACATTTTTTCACTTGTTTTTCTTCCCTCACTTCAATTGCCTAAGTTGTAGCTCCACGCACAATTTGCCACAACCTGGAGTTCCACCAGACTAAACAAGAGGGTAAACATGAGGCCAAGCAGCATGCCTGAAACTTAATGCCTGAGGATTTTCTGATAACATCTATGGGTCAAAAGAACTAAATGAAATAAAATAAAAAAGGGAAGATATTTCCAAATGCTCCGTTCAAAGCAAACTTTTCAGAGCAATCCTCCACAATCCAAGAGGGTTTGTAAGGTTACTCAGGTCTGTGCCTGGCCCACCATCTCCAGAGGTTCCTCTTTATCTTTTCTGAAAATATAAATGAAAAGAAAAAAAATTTAGGATTCTCATAAATTTTATTAAACCTTGAGAGCCTCTACATAAATGATGAAAAGTTCATTTATATGAAGTCATTTTGATAGAAAGTGGAGAACACAACAAATGTACCATGGATATCACTAAACATAAACAAAAATAAATAATTTGCTCATACTGAGCAACATTTCTCAATACTAAAGCTTTAATAGAAAGTCTTTTAGCTTGGGAAGTTGTCATTAATTTAATTAATTTTAATTTAATCTGTTTTTGGCAACATTTCATGTTCAGCAGCATTTTAGTGACTAGATTTTTATATACACAACCTAGTAAAAAAGGATTTTACATTTTCAAATGTCACCATACCAATATCTATATCAATGGATTCACATTGCAAACACTCGTGTATAGATGGACACAATACATTAATCTCACAATTGAAGAACATGTGCTTTATTGATTCTTCTTCAGTATGTAGATAACTTCGATTTTTTCCTCTTTAAACTTCATTTCAGGTATAAATGCTACCTAGTTTTCTCATTCTGGCTCAGATCCTTTGGTATTTCATCACAAGCCTACAATGTCCTTTTGTTCCTCATTATTTTATTACATTGCATTTCCCCCAACTTTCTTTTTTTTTCAGTTTTATAGTCCAACGACTGTTTGGTACATGTGTATTGACTGACTGTGCAATATATGTGAATATAATAGTCATACCACTACCTCACCGTTGCTCCTTACAGGCGCGGATTCAGGCGGGGGCGCGGGGGGGGGGGGCGCACCCCCACTTTGGGATATGGCAAGCCGATTGGGCCAATAATCGTCCGTACAATAACGCGCAGTTCCAACCCGTATTTTACGCGAGCGCGCGTTTTTTACGTCACCGCGCGTTTCCAGCCAGAACGCGCGGTGACGTAAAAAACGCACTACACTTAAATTTAAAAGTCAATCCACCTGTATATAAGCCATCCGGATTGTACATATGTCACCTCAAATCTCTGTGCTACTCCCTTGTATTTTTAATTTTTTTTATTTCTTATTTTTTATTTTGTTTTTCATCGTGTGTGATACATGTACACTTGCACCTTAATCCTTATTTATCTTGATATACTGTATATATATTGCTTATTCTTAATGCACCTTTTTCCTCCTTGTTTGCACCTTCTTTAATCACTATGACAATATGTGACCAGTGAATTTCTCCGCTGTGAGATCAATAAGGCTCATCTAATCTAATCTAACCTAATTGGCAAATTGTTTTATTAGTTTTGAGAAACTGTTGACCACCCCAAGAAAACTATGTTCAGATTCATTTTATTTTAGTTTATTTAGAGTCCCTATATCACTGATGCCCTGCAAAAAGGAGCTACTCAATTTGCTGGAAGTCCATATGTTAGTTCTTTTTGGGTTCTCTAGCTTTTGTTAGTGTTTTGTTAGTGTTTTTATAAATCGCGTATGGATGATAGATGGATGGATGGATGAATAGATGGATGGATGGATGGATGGATGGATGTAAACCTCAAAAGGTTGTTTTTAAACTTATGTAAACAGCCTTTTACCATTTTTGTCTCATGACTGATTTGTTTTCACTTGAGTTACACCGAACATAATGTATGTTACATCAAGTAAAGTAAATCAAAACAAAGATGGAAACACAGTCCAATGTACTTTAACGATGTCAGGCAATTTAAATGTTTTTGGCATCCAAATAGCCTAAAAGTTATATCATTAAATTCCTGTGAAACACATGTCTACACATTTCCTGTCACTGAAGAAGCCTCAAAAGAAATCCAATCTAACTCATAAACACTGGCTAGCCAGAGGATGCTTTTTGCCATCACTGTTTGAAACCACTCGACAGATATTTAAATTTGAAGAAAACAGCTCCTTACTCAGAGATCAAAAACAATTAAACTAATGCATGTTGAAAGGTTGGCAAGTAGCTCCTTGAGCTTTGCACTAATACATGGATTAAATGGGAGTGAGTCAGACTCACTCCAGATCTGCTCCTGTCCTCACTCTTTCGATTCATTTTGAACCTTTTTCCACAAACACACAAAGCCCCCCAAATCAACCTTTTGATGTGTCATTAAGCTAAATGGGAGGAGACATGATGGAAGACCTGCACACAAAAACAAAGTATCACTTCATGGTGCAGTGACTTTATCTGCCTGTGGTGAGCAGCCATTTGGCCTGTTTAAACCTGCAAAGTAACCCTAGCCGTACCCCTGGAAAGTACCCCTGGAAGTCTGACACACAAGGAGCATGTGCATGGGAGGCCTTTACCATCTACCGGAACATGCACACACATACCAGTGTATTATCAGTGCAGTTTTCCACCAAACACAAAACCCAGACAAGAGTTGAAATAAAGTAAGACCCCCTGCTTCTTACATCCTGTTCTGTTTCTGATGTTGCAGAGTAGTCAATCTGTCTGTCCGTATCAGATGTCTCTGGTCACATTTTGACAACTGTAGGTATAGTGATTTTCACTAAGAGTGTCTTAGGTCTCTAATACAAGCCTGTGCATCTGCATGGTTCCAGACGCTTCTCTCCTTACACCTGGCCTCCTCTGATCTGGGGATCAAGAGCAGGCAGGTGGGCTTGCTTTTTCACCCTTATGAACCTAAAACAAAGCCGATTCAACTGTGTCCTTGCTTCAAGAGCTGCTGACAGTGTTGGGAGACCTCATAACTTAAAACATTCATCTGTCTTCTTCATCAGAGTCATAAAGAGGGGAAGCCCAAATGAAGTCAGTGAGCCCGTAAACCAGGTCTTTAATTTGTTTGTATTTGCCCAGGAGCTACCGCCACTGTTGGCCTCTTGTTCCTCTGGACTGCAGTCATGAGTATAATCCCACAGGGTATCTGGTTTGATCAGATCAGAAGGAGAATTTATGAGCAACATTTAGGAGGCCCGACCTGCTGGATATGAAATGCACAGGTGGGATTCATTGTCTTTGTACCTCTCTGCTTGCACAGCAAAAAGGTGTCTTGAAGCGAAATGGGAGGGGAGGAAGACGTATCACTATGCACCAGGTCTCATAAGATAACAAGCTGCTCTGGCTTTGAACATATAGAGCAGAATGAAAGATATACAGTATGGCAGGCTGTAGTTAAAAGATGCTGTGCTTTGTGACTTCACTGCTCGTTAGACTTGTTAAACTAAGCACTGATGTTCGTTCAAGTACTGAGCAGAAATACACCTATAACTTGAAGAGAAACCTAGATGGGTTCTGCTTAGTAATTTGGAATATCTGTCCCCATTGTAACAAAAGAAAAAAATTCTTAAAAACAGTAAAATTGAAAAAAGTTAAGATAAACTAAATGCAATAGTTCCTATGTATGTTTACATTAAAATAATTTTCATAAAGTGTTTGGTCCTATGAATTTAAAATTAAATAATTGAAAAGCTGAAGCAATTCTTTTTTTTTTATTTATCAAGCATTTTTTTTATGACAAATGAATGACTAAAGTACGTTTCTTTAAATTTAATCAGGATTAAATTTGTTCAAGAATAAACTGACCAGGAAATCCTAAACAGAACTAACAGGTAAGACTGATAATGACATTTACTTTCAGTCACAACAATATTTTCTCATAGATGTTCCTGATTCTGTTTTGTGTTTGTTCTTGATCACGAGGATTTTTCTACTTTTTATAATGTCCCTTTTTCTTATTAGCTCAACTGGAGCTTTCTATAGTCGTGCTTTTAACTCAGGGGCCCTTTGTTCAAGGAAATATTTTATTAATTCTGTTTAAAAACTAATGCACTAGCTGTAAAAACAGAATAACTGCACAATTCTTCCATAAAAGTAAGAACTTATCTACAACAGCTAGAAATCTTTAGCTGTATTTAGCGCAGCTTTAGATAAAATTTTAATCAATGAGAATAAATGCAGAAATGTACAAATCAAACAATAATGTATCCATGTCGGGTTAGGGGGCTTTATTAATCCCTTAAAGAGCAATCTGTCAAATGTTCCCCACTATGAAAAATATTTCATTTTTTTTATTCATGATTTACATTCCATTATAGAACAAACCCGTACAAAGGGATGTAATGTCTGAAAGACAAAAAAAAGGGTTTGCAACTCACCTGGTGTGTTTTCTGTTGTGTAGTTTTATTGTTATTGTCATGGTGACTAATGCTGAGAGGCATCCACAAGCCCCAAGTATAAACCCCAGTTTGTCATCTGCAAAAAACACAAAACGTATAATAGAAATAACCTTTTATCAGCCATGCATTACGGCAAAATATTCCGTAGACCCTCACAATATAAGCGACATGGTAAAGGGCTAACAGGAAGAGTTGAAAGGAAGGAGATGATATGTAATCGCCTCAGGGTAAAATTCATCACTTAAAGTAATTATTTATTCTAGCAGAAGTTAATCATTATATGATGAGAGATGAATTCAAAGTGCTGCCTAAAGTCAGTGACAGCCCTAGTTTTGCTTTTAAAGAGATAACCAAAAGTGAAATCTTTTTTTTTTTCCTGATTGCAGATGTAGCCATGCTAAGGGTGAAGAAAAGTTCATTTTATTTTCCATTTTTTTAACAAAAGGTTATTATAAAGCTTTACTCATTTGTTTGTGTTGAAAGACAAAAGTTGTGAAAGCTGCTGTGGCTTTCCTCAACACACCTTACTTTTTCAAGAATGTAGTTATTTAAAAAAAAAAAAAAAAAAAAGATCTAATAGTTCTGACACTGTAAACCTTGTCACTGACTGACTGATTACTCAGTACACCTCAGGAATTAAGCTGATAATTACACCAAACAGTCCATCTGTCAAACAACTGCAAGTCTGCCCAGGCCAGTTAGTTGGCGCAGATGTCAAACTTTTTTATAAACTTAAAAAAGTTGCCAAGAAGCAAATGATTCCACCGAACTGATGATTAACCTTCTCTAAAACTGTTTGTCAGCTCTCCATAACGTTGTTGCACAACTGTGCTGTTTAAACCAGCTTTAAGTTGTTATCCTGCATTATAGAGAAAACAACAAAACAAATCCATCTGTTTTTATTTACTGAGTTCAGATTTTGCAAACCATATAATTAAAAAAAGGAGCTTAACTACCAAGAATAACCTAAAAAAATTTGAAAAAAATCAGTCATTGCTGATTTTTATCATTTCAGCTTCTTCAGTGAATCAAAGCATTAACTAAAGCGCTAAGTTATTTTACTCTGGTTACAGGGAAATCTAAATAGGTTGATTCTTACTGAAACATTCTGTCACACTCTACAGGCACACAAACAGAGCAGTTGGCACAGTTAGGAGGTTTATTTTACTCTTGGTCAGACAGGCAAGGGTCAGATCCGTGAAACCAGTCAGAGTTTGGGGGCAATCCTTGAATCTGTGGTCGGGCAGGCAGGAGGTCGTCACCAGGGAGTCCAAGATAACAAGCGAGGATGAGGGTCCAGATTATCAGACGAGACACTGGGGGAAGAAAACAGGCAGGTTTAGGAGAGGGAACAAACTTGGCTTAGTCAAAACTTAGACTTGAGCAGACAGATGGCCTGAGAGTGTTTACCACTAGGGGTTAGACAACAATCTGACGGCGAGCAGGTGGAGGCTCCGTCCTTATATTGGGTCCACTGCTGATCAGGGAATGACCTGCAGGTGTGAGGGTCACAGCAGCTGATGTGACAGGTCCTCTCCTCCAAGGCGCCCGGTGGCGTCTTGTCCTCTTGTGGAAGTCCCGGATGAGCTGAGGATCTAAGATGGCAGAACGTGGTTCCCAGCTGCGTTCCTCCGGGCCGTAACCCTCCCAGTCTACCAAGTATTGGAAACCACGTCCTCGGCGGCGAACATCCAGCAGCCGTCGCACTGTGTATGCAGGGGCATCATCAACGATCCTGGGGGGTGGGGGTTGCGGAACAGGAGGAGACAAGGGACTGGACAGGACAGGTTTCACTTGGGAAACATGAAAGGATGGGTGGATCCTCATTGTCCTGGGGAGGTTAAGGCGAACAGTAACAGGGTTTATGATTCGGTCAATAGTGAAGGGTCCAACAAACCTGGGTGAGAGTTTCTTGGAAGTGTCTTTCAGTGGCAAGTTCCTGGTGGACAACCAGACCTCCTGTCCAGGTTGATAGTTGGGGGCTGGGTGCCTGTGACGGTCGGCGAGACGGCGGTTTCTTTCTGCAGTTCTGGAGAGTGCTGCTCGAGTTCTTCGCCAAACCCTGTGACACCTTCGAAGGTGATGCTGAACTGAAGGGACAGCGAGTTCCCGCTCCTGAGAGGGAAAAAGAGGGGGTTGATAACCCAGTGAAGCTTCAAACGGGGACATACCTGTAGCTGAGCTGGTAAGTGAATTGTGGGCATATTCTACCCAAGGTAAGTATTGGGACCAGGAAGTTGGTTTGTCCAAGATGATACAACGGAGGGCAGCTTCAAGGTCTTGGTTCACCCTTTCCGTCTGACCATTGGTTTGAGGATGGAAACCAGAAGACAGGCTAACTGTGGCTCCTAGAGCCTGGCAGAAGGCTCGCCACACCCTGGAGGTGAACTGCGGTCCTCGGTCCGAAACTACGTCTAGAGGGATGCCATGGAGCCGGACCACATGGAGAACAAGGAGGTCGGCAGTCTCTGCAGCAGTGGGCAGCTTGGGAAGGGGGACAAAATGTGCAGCCTTAGAGAAGCGATCTACTATGGTTAGAATGACTGCATTACCTTGGGAGAGAGGGAGACCAGTAACAAAGTCCAATGAGATGTGGGACCAGGGTCTGCTTGGGGTTGGAAGCGGCTGAAGGTAACCGGAGGGTGGCTGGTTGCTGGACTTCCCACGATTACAGACTGTACAGGAAGAGACAAATTTACTGGTGTCCTGAACCATTGACGGCCACCAAAAGAGCCTCTTTAAGAGGGAGATGGTTCTTTGTACCCCAGGGTGGCAGGCAAACTTGGAGGAGTGGGACCATTGCAAAACCTCAGACCTAACCCCTTCGGGAACAAACATGCGGTCAGTGGGACAGTTGCTGGGAGTGGGCTGTTCTTGTTGGGCCTGCCTCACTAACTGTTCGATCTCCCAGGAGAGGTTAGCCACTACAATAGAGGTTGGCAGAATGGTCTCAGGTTCCTCTTTGGGTAAATTGGGGTCGAACTGACGAGACAATGCATCAGGTTTGGCGTTTTTGGAGCCTGGTCTGTAGGTTAGAATAAAGTTGAAGCTGGAGAAAAACAAGGACCAACGGGCATGACGGGGTGTTAACCTTTTAGCAGTCTGTATATAAGACAGATTCTTGTGGTCTGTCCAGACTAAAAAGGGTTGGGAGGAACCCTCCAGCCAATGGCGCCATTCCTCCAGGGCCAGTTTAACCGCTAACAGCTCACGGTCTCCCACACTGTAATTTTGTTCGGCCTCTGTTAATCGCCTTGAAAAGAAAGCACAGGGCAACAACTGTTTTGCAGGATTGCCATACTGGGACAGAACTGCTCCCACCCCAGTCTCAGAAGCATCCACCTCCACTACAAACTGTTTACAAGGATCTGGTTGGATAAGAACTGGTGGGGAGGCGAACAACTGTTTCAATGCATTGAAAGCAGAAGCTGCTTCTGGTGACCACACAAATGGTTGATTGGTGGATGTGAGTTTGGTCAGTGGTTGGACCACTAGACTGTAGTCCTTGATAAACTTGCGGTAAAAATTTGCAAAACCCAGGAAACGCTGGAGATGTTTTCGGGTCTTGGGTTCTGGCCACTCCACCACTGCTTTTGTCTTAGCTGGGTCTGATCTAATCTGTCCCTCTTCAATAATAAAACCCAGGAAATGCACGGTTGAACAATGAAAGTCACATTTCTCTGCCTTGACAAATAGTTTGTTCTCCAGCAGTCGTTGGGGAACTTGCCTAACATGACTGACATGCTCCTCCTTGGTCTTGGAGAAGATTAATATGTCGTCTAGGTAGACAAACACAAAATGGTTCAGGAAGTCCCTGAGGACATCATTCACTAGAGCCTGGAAAACTGCTGGGGCATTAGTTAGACCAAACGGCATCACCAAATACTCAAAATGGCCTACAGGAGTCTTAAAGGCAGTTTTCCATTCATCCCCATCACGGATGCGCACCAAATAATATGAATTACGCAAATCTAGTTTAGAAAAGATAGTTGCACCGTGAAGCAGTTCAAATGCTGAAGACATGAGGGGTAACGGATACTTGTTTTTAATGGTAATGTCATTCAGGGCCCGATAATCAATACAAGGACGTAAGGTACCATCCTTTTTGCCAACAAAGAAGAACCCTGCCCCTAAAGGGGATGAAGAGCGGCGAATAAGACCAGCCGCCAGGGAATCATTTATGTAACTCTCCAGAGCCCCTAGTTCCTGTTTAGAAAGATGGTACAGGCGACTGGAAGGGAGTGGGGCATCTGGGAGAAGGTCAATGGAGCAATCATATGGTCTATGTGGGGGCAGTGTCTGGGCTTGGGTCTTGCTAAAAACATCTGCTAGATTGTGATATTCAGAAGGAACCTGTGACAAATCCGGGGTTTCTACAAACTCGTCTTTGGTGTCAGATTTGGGTAGGGCAGAGCAAAGGCAATTGCCTGAACAAAACGAACTCCAACTAACTATCCTCCCCATAGACCAATCTATGTGAGGGTTATGGAGAACCAGCCAGGGGTGTCCCAACACAATACTAAAACTGGAGTTGGGAATAATCTTAAATTGGATTAACTCCCTGTGATTACCCGAGGTTACTGTCAAAACTGGGACTGTTTGGTGGGAAACACAAAACAATAGTTTGCCATTTAAACCTTTTGCTGACAATGGCGGACTAACAGGTTCAATGGGAATATTCAGCCGCTTTGCCAATTCAGCATCAATAAAACTGTCTTCTGCCCCAGAGTCTATCAAGGCAGCTAGAGAATGGGAAGAGGAGTCAAGACACAGTTTAACTTTTACCTGAAGACGATTAGAAGATTGGGGGAACTCATTATTGCTCATTAGACTCCCCACTTCTAATGAGCGCTGTCTTTTGGCCGCTGAGGACAGCTGGTTACTCTGTGGCCAGGCTTGCCACAATAGAAACAGTCTCCAGATTGGAGTCGCCTCAGTCTTTCTGCAGCTGACAGACGTGTGCCTCCAATCTGCATCGGTTCTCCACCAGAAGGCTCAGGGGTAGGCGGCAGTTCTGGGGAAGTGACAGAGGGGGCGCTGTGGGCCCCAATGACTGGTTGGACAGACCGAGAAACA